AGTAAAGATGCAACATACTGACTGATTTATACCAAAGGAGACTCAATGTTGAATTAGAACCAGCAAAGTTGAGTTGAGAAATATGGAAATTATTTATTAATAAGATAAACCAGAAACATAACAGTGACTTTATGACACACTTCCTTGTTCTGTTTAGAAAAATATTACAACTTAAGTTTTAAAGTTGATGTGATTTTAGTCCAATCAAATAATCATATTATTAAATGGTTCTCTGTGTATAGTTATTATTTTTGCTGTAATTTCTCAGATTGTCTCCGGATGGTTCTGATCGGGAAAACTGGCAGTGGGAAGAGCGCATCAGGAAACACCATCCTGGGAAGAAAAGTGTTTAAATCTGAAGCTTCTCCTCAGTCAGTAACTAAAACCTGTCAGAAAGCTCACGGTGAGGTAGACGGTCGCCATGTTGTTGTTGTTGACACTCCTGGTCTGTTTGACAACAACTTGACCTCAGATCAGGTCAATGAAGAGTTAAAGAAATGTATCAGTCTGGTGGCTCCAGGTCCTCATGTCTTCCTGCTGGTTCTACCGATCGGCAGATTCACTAAAACAGAAGACACAGAGACACTGAGGCTGACTGAGGAGGTTTTGGGAGAAAATTATAAAAAGTTTACGGTTGTCCTTTTTACTAGAGGAGATACACTGGAATATGATGAGATCTTCATTGAAGAATATACTGAAGATGGATGTGATGAAGCCTGTAAGGATCTGATCAGAGACTGTGGAGGAAGATACCATGTGTTTAATAACTATGAACAAAAGAATCGCTCACAAGTCACTGAGCTGATCGAAATGGTCGACATCATGGTGAGGAAGAATGAAGGCAGCTGCTACACTAGTGAGATGTTATCTGTAAACTGAAAACCAAATAAAATCTGGTTTCAAGCTTTTCTGTTTGTGCAGAAAAATTCGACCAATAAATTTATCCTGAATGTGATCAAAGCGTTAACATTAGGAGAGGAAACGACTGTAGAGAACAAAAGAGGCTCTGAGACCAAAGAAACTCTGAATCCCAGAATGCATCATGTTGACCCAATAAATTGTTCCTGAAAAATGAATATTAATGATGACCTGTGATGTTCCTGCATCATATTTTTATAGTTACGGGTTTTCACTTCTTTTCTTGTTTGTTCTTTATTTTTAATCTTCACATGATTTATTTTCCTAAATTTTCAGCTTTACTTTGTAGTTCAGTTGAACTTTACTGACCTATTAGTTTAAAACAGAGAGAATCACTTTTATGTAACATAAAACAAATCAAACTGTTAATATCCTCTTCTAACATTTGTCAATACCTTTTCTTTCTGTAGTTTTATGAAAACAGCAGGTTCACATTCACAACTGCTGAGCAACAAATTCAAATTTCAGAATTTCTGAATGAGGATTCAGAAATTTAAAGATGAATTATTAAAGGATTTTTGTTAGTTGATGATCTTGTGTATTGTTGGTTTTTTGTTTCATTTTTTACAGCTTGCAGCATGAAATTAAACACAGAAATTTAAAACCTGGTACCGACTTTAAATCCACCATTGACTCTGAACTTTTGATCTTTACAATATAAACAGCAGAGATTTAAACTGTGGAATCAGGAATGTTTTGATTTTAGTTTCATAGTTTTAATGTACTTGGTGTTTTGGTTTATTATTTGAAAAATAAAGTCCTTCTCTATATTAGTGTTTGTGTGTTTTGTATTTGTCTCTAATAATATGAAGTGTATTTATAGTTTTTACATCTCCCTAACAATAAGAAGTATTTTTAATAACAGAGTTTAGATAAATGTTTCTGCTTGGAAGCAAGGATAGAAAAAAATCAAACCAGACTCAGAGCTGCTGGTTTCTGTCAAACTGAAACAAAAACACAAAATGTTTTTGGATTTATCTGTACATGATAAGAGAAATTGAGCCTGTTAAACAATTTTTTATGTTTTACTCAACCAAGTGTCAGACTTTCTTCATCCTCTTTATTGTTATAACCTTTCCAGTAAAGCAAAGTGAACAATAAATTAGCATTACTGCAAATGTATTTGCAAACCTAAAAGTTGGAAGAAAACTTTTAGTTTGCCAATAACTGTGAAGCAGATTATCCTAAAATCTGATTATGATGCAGAACTTAATTTATTATCATCCTTTGTACAGCCAGACTGGAAACAAACAACAAACCATGAAGGATGAGGGACCACAGAGTCCAACCAGGAAGTTTAAAAAGGGATTCTTGTGATATTTACAAAAAAGGTCAATATATATTTGAAAATCTTTATTTGTGCATGTTTTATAAATAATATTTTTCAAAAAACTGACTCATGCTTGGTTGTCTGATCATCCTTCACAAGCTGCATGTCGAATGTGCTTTATTGCTCTAAATGTCATTTCAAATCAAACATTGTCAATGTTTACAAAATATCTAAAAAAATTACAAAACGGACCAAAAGGTCCCAATGTGAGGCACTAAACTAAAAAACATCTAATCGCTAATAGCTAATCAGGGCCTTTATCCCGGCACTGTCAGACATTTGTCACATAGTAGAAATCTAAATATAATAAAGTTTATTTGTGATTTTGTATTTGTCACTAAAATGTCCATTTGGAAAACTGTGCCGACTGTCTTCTTGTCTTACCAACATGTAGAAAAAGACACAATAAATTCAAATACTCAGTTGGTTATTTTTCTTTTCTGTTAGATTTTTATAGCCACTGCAATAAAACATTCAGTTCAAGACATTAAACATGAGCAACATTAATTACACTTCAGAGCAGTAACACCCAATCTGTCAAACTGTGAGAGGTTTAACTTTTAATGTGTGCTTTTTAAAATTTATTTTCAACATGAGGCTCCATCTTGTGAGATGATTCAGATTCTAGTTGCAATGTTGGAAAGTTTCTCCACAGAATCACTGTAAATATTAACCTTTCATGTGTTACTGAAATGTCTTATGAACACCTTTTACTTGAATGGACCGGACTTAAAATAAATTATTTTATTAATGTCTGCAGTTTTCCAGGTACTGATAACAGAGATTTTCTGATCCAAGTTATCACAAATAAAGCTGACCTTTGACCTTCTGCCTCTCTGCCATTTCCTCATCAGAACCTGATCAGACTATTTTGGACCAGTCAGTTTGTTACAGCTGAGCTTCAGATTCAGTCTCACACATAGCAGCACCAGGAACTTTTAATATTTTTAAAATATCAAGTTTAATCAAGATTTTACTTCAGAGAAAATCAAAAAGTTCTTTATTAGAGACAAATCATCTGATCATCATGTGGAAGGAAATAAAACCTTTAAAAACTGATATCCTGTTTCTGGTGAATCATTAAATTAAAAAGATTTAACAGCAGCTCTGCTCCTTTGCTGAGCTGAGCTCACAGTAATTCCTCTGAAAAGAAAAGAACCAGTTGTTCTGGTTGCATTCAGTGTTTCCATCTATGAATATTTTACTGTTTTCTTTCAACCGTCTGAAAATAGTTGAACAGGAAGAGATGAAGGCTTTCAGTCACTGCACTGTAAAACATTTGAGCCACATTTAGTTGTGTTTACTGTCTTCTAATCTTTAAGTCGAATAAATTTAGTCAGTTTTAGGTAAACAGATCCGCATTGAACTTATGCAGTGCAGCTGTAACAAAATGCCATATAAGGCTTTGTTTACATGCGGTGGATGCTACCTAGCCATGCTAACCTTTACCTTCCCGCCAGCAAACAAACAAAAGGATAGTGATGGCCAGACGACACAGAAACCTCTGCACATGCGCCGAGCAAACAAGATGAAGCCCCGTGTCGGTGCGCGTGTCACTTTAAGGAAAACCACGTCATCCATAGTTTGGATGTGAACGTGACAAATTGTACTGATGAGGGACAAACTGTGTCGACACGTTTGTGGGTTTGATGGATGGAGAAACTTTGTGTTCTTTGCTTTGGTTTTTGGCTGGTATTTGAAAACCGGCATTGATCAACAGAGGAAGAGGAAGTTTTCTCCATGTGGGATCATTTTGATCTCATAACGGAAAGTAATTATTCCGTTCTTATTTCCTCTTTTGGATTATTCAGATTCTTTCCATGGGATGTTTGAGTTAGTTTCATGGATTAACTTTTATTCATATTGTAGGTGAAAAATGAAGGATTTGCTCCCAGGTTTCGTCCTATTGTAACCGCAGCTCTTCCACAAAGCTGAGGCATCAACGTACCGACATGAGG